TATTTAGCTTCATTTAACATATTTGATTTATTTTATTTTTTTTATTTATTAGATTTTTCCCTTTAATTCTTTCGTCCTCCGCTACAAAATTTTCTCGTCCTACGTCCCTCGCCCTTTTTAAAAAATTTCTGACATGCACCATGACTGATTGTGATTCTAAATTGGAATATTAAAGATAATGTTGCAAAAGACCACGTTTGGAGATCAAGATAAATCCATTTATTAAGATCGAATCTTTATGGTAAAATCGCAAAGAAATTGTATAATTATATTTTATTTTATTATTATAAAGAGCCTTAGTATCAATTCAGTATATCAGGTTTATTATATTTATTGATTAACAAACAAATTCATTTTTATTTTTATTCAATCATTAGCTTAGCATTTTACATATTCAAAGGTTTACAAATCCTCTTAAAAACGAAACTGGGTAACCGCATCAAATGTAATTGATGCTTAATAACCACGAAAAATCAATTTCAGGAACTCTACAATATGAAAAACTAATTGATTTGTTCAAAAACATAAAGTTTGTTCGGTAATCAACAATAAGTATATTAATGTTAATATTATATTTATTATCTGTATCACGAGAATATATTGAGAATGGTAATAATAATTATATGTAATATATTAAAGAATAAAGATTGATTATTGTTGTTTAAATAGATCTTGGTTGTTGCTTGTGAAATTGTGAGATTACATACATCTGAGGTATATATTTATTTTATATTAATTTATTCATTATTCATTTTTTATTTATTTATTTTATTTACAATATTTAGATTATTAAGGTATTTATTTATTAATTTATTAATTTATTTATTATCCTTACTTTTGATGGATGATGAGGAAAATTTTCGAAAATAAATTTACGAAATATTACGCGAAAATCAGCTTTTTGAATTCGCTCACAATTTATGCAACAGGGAGTGATTTTCTACTAAAATATTTCTAAGATGGATCGAAAGCCCTGGTTTCCGGCTACAAGTTAATATGTGTTTTATTCATACAGCATCGATATTAATCGAAATATTTACGTTTAAATTCGAACGTCCGTGCTATTTACGAAAATTTTTTATTCAAACTTTTCAACTTTAAACGTTAATTTCTCGATGAATATTGAAGCTACGGGAATGTAACGCATATAGTCTTGTAGCCAGGAACAAAGGCTTTCTATCCATCTTAGAAATACCTTAGTATAAAATCGCTTCAAGTCGCATAAGTCACGAGCGAAGTCAAAAAAGCCAGATTTTTTCGTAAATTTTTGCAAGATTTTATAAAATTTTCCTGATTTAGATATGAATATATTCACAAGAATAGTTGGTAACGCTTTACTTGTTTATTGTGCAGATAACATGATGTATGATCTCACCATTATAACCAACGGCACCATTACAAGATAATAATAATATTGATGGTGTTTGTTGGTAATATCGGTAATATTAGTAATGGCAATTTAAAATAATTACAAATTGAATTATGTCAACAAATTTCTTTTGTTGGGGTAATTAGTGCTCCAGTTAGAGTTAGATCTATTTCTTGGTTTAAAAATTACATAGTAAGTTATTATTATTCTCCTTCTACTTTTATATATCCTTCTATATATTAATCAATTATTATTATTATATTATTATAGGACCATTTACTCCAGCAATTTAATCAGCTTCAACAATATTTTTAATAGATGGCAAACTTTTTTTACTTCATCCTATGAAGGTTTGTATCAAATATCCAACTTTAGGATGGTGATTTTGATTTTTATATATTAACTTTATGATATTGATGATATTTACAGTTTTTACATTAATGACCAATGTAAGACATCATCGTAAATTTACTTACCTTTTTAATTCCTATTTTGAAATTATCCGAACTCATCTGAAATTTTATTTTCCCGTTATTTTATTAGGCACATTATTCTTGCAACATATATTATTAACATATATTAAGGTATGTTAACTAAAGAATAAGTTTTTTTTTAAAAAAAAAACAATAATAAACATGAACAGAAGAAGGTTAATTTTATTTATTTTTCTAACTAGATTTGAGATAGAAGCAATTCTCTTTGCAACGAGTTATCGGAAATTAGTATATTTTGGACATGCATTAGAAATGCTCTTACATCAGGTTTTAGAAGATGAAGCTGAATTTTCTGCAAGATGTAAATTATTTACATATTTTTATATATTTTTATTTGTTTGATATTAATATTTTAATCGATTAATTAATTATCAATTTATAAGGCAGTTTTACCAGTGTTGTTAAATTTCTTAATAATTTTCCTCACGCAATTGATGCTATTGCAGGTTGCGCACGTAAAACCGAGGTTCCATTATGGGATTACTTATTTCCTATTGTCGATAGTCCAAAGGATTTATTTGAGGCAAATAAAAATTTCTTCTTTCATCTCTTTATTTTCTAATTCTTGTCTATTCTATTTTTGTCAATTCTAATTAGAATGTATGTCCACTAGATTACTTAAAACGGCTACCTCATATTTATTGGTTCTTCATACATTAGAACCATCATCTGATAATAGCAAGGTAATTGTCGTAATTTTCTGGCCAAAAAGACACCCGGGCAAAGTACCCCCATGAAATGTACCCTCATATAAAAAATTTGTAAATTTTCAATATATTTCAGTGCATACACGCATCTTATAAGATAATCGTAATTTATGTACAATATTTTAATTCTTTAAATAGTAAATTTTTAGTTATGATATTATTTCCCATGTAAAGTTTTCAGACAGTGGGGTGTAACATATGCGTGTCTTTTGATCAGCAAATTACGGTAATTAATTGGGATAAAAAATATCAAAATTAAATTTCTGTATTTAATAATTTATGTAAAATATTAGGATACTATTCAATTGTTATCTAAAGCTATGGAATCAGAAGATTATAAGGTAATAATGAATATATTTATAATGATATTCCATTTCCGAATGACATTCAGGAAGTGCTAATCTTGGATCAGTTTTTTCGGGACATTTAGAACACTTGACTTTTCTAAGGTTGATACGTATCGGATTCTCATGACGTCCCTTCATTAATGATTCATACCTTGCGAGGATTCGTTCTGGTTCCGATTCTTTAAAAACACCATACTCGTTTATTTGATCACTTGAGAATCTTACCTTAACATAAATACTTTCAGGTGGGAGCCTTTCGAATAACCAAATCTTAAATTTGCTAATATTTGAAGTTAAGTCGTCATTGGTGCGATGTACTTCTTGGGTTATTTCTCTGGCGGCATCACGGGGGCCTTGACTATTTGTGTCAGAGGTACCTTCAATGACGAGGGTGGTATTATCCCATACATTTCCGGTATTGTATTGTGCCAAGGATTCAATAAATCTTGCTTGACGTTCGTACGAGGCTTTTACTCTGATGTCAGACCCCACGAACCACAATACTGTTGTTATATTATGAACGGTCAATTCCAACATCTTAAGAAAAATCGAACGCTTATTATCATCATCTCTTTTTTTTTTTCGTCAGAATCATCGAATCCTGGCGTATCAATGTAGAATCCTCCATTTCCAAAAATTTATTGCTGTAATTTCCCGTATTTTCAATTGAAAGAATGCATCGTTGTGATAACTAATATATACGCATCTAATATGAGTATAAATCCTTATTTAAGTGCTTCAAAACATGAAAAAGTCATGCTTACGCTTGTATCGAGCATTTTGTCATACGTATAAATAAAAGATTGAAAAATCAATGTTCAATGAATACATGTAAACCAGAAACTTAAAACAAGTAAACGAAATATAAAGAAAACATTTATTTTTTATTTTTTTTTTCTTTTGAAATTTTTAAATTAAGTAAAAACATATATCGCGCCAAGTTGTTTACGTGTAGTTTGGCAAAATAGGGTACCTGTGCCCGCAGGGTTGGGTTGTCAGGGATAGTGTCCATTTTTCTAGGACTTAACCAATGAAATTCTGATAAGAATCTTCATCTAATGAGCCAATCAATACGTTGATCATGGACTCGATCACTATTGGCTCATCAGGAATCACATGAAATGAATAAATATAAATACGTTTACTTTGTTTTCCTCTTCACTATTTTGGCTTAACTCTTACCACGCGAAGAATAACCAACGCTTCAAGGACTACTTCTAAACCGCCTTTCAAAACTCTCTAAAACTTCTAAACCAACCGAAAACAATATCAAGATGGAAAGAACTTGTGAAAATTTTTCTCAAGAACGATTTTGGTTTGATTTAACGGCAAAACTTGATATGTAAGTATTCTGAATGGCGAAAGATTCGCGAGGGACAAAATATTTTTGTTAAAAAAAAGAAGTATACGTAATAGAAGTCAGTTAAAGGAGATTAGAAATATGCGAAAAAAACAATAGAAAGTTTAGTAAACTCGCGAGAAAAATTAGGCTATAAAGAAAATAAACACGCGAAAACAAACCTATTTTTAATAATATATTTCATAAACAAACATTTTCTTGTGAACTATGTTCGTTTTATTGAAAAGGAAGTTCTTTTATGTTACTTTTATCTAAAATAAACATATTTTTATTTAATTTGTTTATTTTTTGTTTACTTTAATAGTGATGTTTTCCCTCTCAAGTCTCCCCTTGACCCTCCCGCTCCCAAGGACGAATATCAAGCTACGATTGCCAAAGCTAAAGCAACTGAATACACCAAGAAAGCTCGCCAAGCCGCCTACGTATCTGCGGAACAAGTGCAAAAAACAAGAAGAAGATTGGGTAAAACGGCCATCTCGATCATTAAAACTGGTAAATCTTTATAAAATTAATTACGTAATACTAAATATAATATTACTATTGTAAACTAATTTAAATCTTTGATTATTTTTTATTATAGACAGAAGAGTCAAAAGAAGATATTCTCCTTACATTTCCTCCCCATTAAATGATAGGTAATATTAATTACATATAGATTTTATGATCTAATTATGTTAAATTTTATCAATTATATTTATTGATAATCGATCGATATTATTTTCTATTTTATTAGTGACAAACAAGTCCAGGAGGTAGCGGGTAAAATTAGTAAGGCTTACGTAAATCAAGGTCAACGATCTGCATTGACCAACAACAACGTAAGTTTAAAAAATAATAATAATTTTAGAAAAAAGTATGCGTAATTTTAATAAATTATTTTAATAAATTATTTTATTAAAGGTAAAACTTCGACTCGGAATTGCGCTTTTCAATGCGGGCATGGAAAAAAAAGCCTTACTATAATGACGAATATGAAAAATATGCTTTGGGTCAACAAGAGGAGGAGCCTGTTGATGCCGGAAATGATGGGGTCACGTAAGTATTATTATTTTTTTTTTGATTAACGATAATTAACATTTTAATAATTAATTAATAATTCTCATAATTATTCAGCACCATTCATGCTCC